GTAAATAGTGCTGGTCCTTAAGTGGCTAACGCTGATGGCAGTTGAATGGGATTGCATTCAGCAGGCAATATGGTGGGTGGTGACGATGAGGATAATTTTTTGCTGAACAAAAAGCTTTATTGTTGAAAATGTGCTTCCCCTTGTATTCATGAGTGGATTCGCTGCTGAATTGAAACTGGGTTGGATTTCAGTGTCTTGACATCAGTGCCTCCTCGATTCTCATCAGTACCACCTCAATGCACATCAGTGAAGGCAAAAATGTACCTGTTTGCAGAATTTTATAATGAAAACAAAAAAGAAGTTTGTTTCCATTATAAAATTTTGCAAACTGGTACATTTTCGCTTTCACTGATGTGCATTGAGGCGGCAAGGATGAAAATTTAGGAGGCACTGATGAGCATGTTTGGGGCTGCACTGATAGTCAGGGCCCTGATTATCAGGGCAGATGTCCTCTGACACTTGCTGGTTATCAGCGGTATGTTCCTCACGCTGTGACAGCGTGAGACAAGTGCTGTGGATAACCGGCAACTGTATTTACTTTGTGATCAGCTGTGTCATTGGACACTACTGATCATGTAGTAAAAGGCTGCTGTGATTGATCTTTTACCTTGTCAAGTGATCAGCTGTGTCCATAGGACACAACGATCACAGTGCGGGGGGTGTGTTCTGGGAGGACATGACTCTCTCCCAGAACTGGACAACCATGCTGTAGCCATTATTCGCTGTAGCACAGTTGTAAATTGGTTAAAGAGGAGTTCACTTTTTTTTTTTTTTTTTTTTGTGGTTTACACTTTACTCTTAATTGAAGTGAGCAATAAGGGGTGCGTCATGTACCTGGTAGAGGCCAAGCTGACGAGAGCCTCTCAACATCTCCTATCCAATACCCCCTACAGTTAGTGATGGGGTTTAGCAGGATGAGGAGTGACATGGGTGCCTGTGTTGGGGCTTGTGAAGAATATGGCTTTGATTCCTGTATCTGGGACTTCCTGTGCACATCTGTTTGCCAGCAGTCAAGATGAGTCAGTTGGCAACAACCAGGCACCAGAGGTACCAATTTCTGAGGAGTGGTCAGAAGCCAAACTGGGGTCTCAGGCAGTCAGCAGATATACAAGAAACAGCAGGCAGGGGACAGTCTGTACACACGTCAAGGTCCGGAATAGAAGATCAGGATAAATCCACCAGGAGATGAGCTGGGTAAAAATCGGGATGCAGGTCTGGTCACAGAAGCTCACAATTCAGCAATTCTTAGTTTCCGATGTACTTGAACTTCTAGGTGCTAAGAGTGCAGGATTCACGCTAATGTGCACACACAAACCTGCATGGATGCATGCACAGCTTTGACTCTAGATACTAGACCATGAGCTACACTATGTGCACATGCAGAACTTTGGGCATGACAAAGCACTCGATATTCCTGACTGGGTGCTAATGTAACTTTGTACTCATTACCCTAGGAGGGGGCACATTTTCTTGGGGTGGCAAATATCTGGGGCCCCCCTTATATTAAAGGGAGCGTCTAGATTCTGCTATAAAAAGGCATAGGGTTTTCTTTAATAGACTTCTGCCCGCCATATAAAGTAATGACGGGCACAAGGTGGTTCTCTCATTCTGGGAGGTCTTCCCACTCTAACCGTGCATGCACGGCAATCGGTGCGCTGTGTTCCTGGGACACAGTGGATCACTACTCAACGTAAAGACTGACGTCAGCTCTGTCATGTGATCAGCTGTGTCCAATCACAGCTGATCACATGTAAATCAGGAAATGCCGGTTATCTGCGTTCCTCTCCTCACAAGCAGTCACGCTGACAGCTTGTGAGGAGAGCCAGTAATCTGCATTACTCAGAGGGGATATGTGCCCTGATCAGTGTGCCCATCTTATTAGCGCCCATCACTGCTTTACAACAGTTTATAACAGAACTTAAAACTTTTTTTTTTCAATTTTCAGTTTTTTGGTTTGTTTAGCAAAAAATGAACCCAGAGGTGATTAAATACCACCAAAAGGAAGCGCTGTCTATATATAAAAAAATAAAGAGAATTTCATATGGCTACACTGTTGCGTGACCGCAATTGTCATTCAAAGTGCGACCACACTCAAAGCTGAAAATTGGCCTGGGCAGGAAGGGGGTATAAGTGTCCTGTAGGCAAGTGGTTAAAATTCCAACAAGACCCTTATCCAGGTATGTAGTGTGTGTCGGAGCAAACAGTCCCAATAGTTTGGCAAGTCTGCAAATGTCACAGGTTCACATCAAATCTTTTGTAGTGCTTTGAAAATACTGCTGTGATTGTTTTTGCTGTAACATAAATTAATGAATACTTTTATAACTTTCAATTCAGGCTTCGAGGACCTGGCATTAAAAAAGCACTTAACAGTGTTAACCAAGCATCCGTACACAGTAATTACACTTTCGATCACTTGCCCCTCCGATTAGATTGTATACTCTCAGAAGGTCTTCACCAACCGTCTTGAACGGTATTGTAATTATGATGTCCCCCTTTATAATATTAGAGCAAACTTTCTGCTTTATAAATCCTGAATAATGTATATTGTTTTGATCGAAGTTAAAGTATCTTTTATATGATTACAATGCAAGGTTCTCTTATGCTGTAGGCTGAACATTCTGGACCATCACTGAATGCAACATCTGGATTCAATGCTGCAGCGGATGCTGCTAATCTTGAAAAGGCAATAAAAGCTAAAGGTGAGCACTCTTAAAAAAAAAAAAAAAAAAAAAAAAAAAAAAAAAAAAAAATTCACTTCCTCCACAGAGAACTAGCTTTTGACAAGGACTCCCTCCTCCCTCTTCCTCAATTGATAAAAGTAGATTACTTTACATGTAACACTATCTCTGGATTTGGGAGCATCAGATGATTCACAGGATTCCTCCTCTGAATCACAGATCAAGTTAGGAGGGGGCTGATCCCCCATTGGGATCTTGTTCACTGCAGCTTTATTACCTCCCTCAGTACTGGTAGTTCAGCAGTAGGAAGAGTACCTCCCTCCTTGCACAGTTTTCTACAGAATCTGGCAGCCCCACAGAGGTGGGAAATACTTCTTCTTACTGGTAAGTTAGGTCATTAAGGCTAAAGAGCCAAACTTCAGCTTTTATATATGTAAAGGGTCTCTATAGTTTACACAATTTAACCCCAGCGTTACAGCTGGCAGTACTGAAAGCATCCAGAGTTTAACAACCTTCTGTCATTACTCAATTGTCATTGTCTTAAAGACTTCATCCCTACCTCACTCAAATATCATCTCTATCTTCATATTTTATAGAACTTGAAATGTGGTTGTGTAAGGTGCCATAATTGACTGGCATTCATATAGGTGTTAGCCCAGACTTCTACTTTAATGTAAAGGAAGATGCATATAAAGTACTTGACTATTCTGAGTCCTCTGGTCAAGTCATGGGATCTCCCCAGCAGCCAGCTTCAGGGAAGTGGAGAGAATGCAGGAAATGGCTGGAATGACTGGACAGTGATATCACCCATAGGCTTACTATGGGGCATCTGCTGTAAGCTGTTCCTCCCCTCCCTTGAAGCTGGCCATTGGGAGCCGATCATGTGACTGGACTGGAGTGCCCTGAGAATAGGTAGCATAAGCATCTCCTTTCTAAAGGGTAGTCAGACAGAAGCCCCCCACTCCCCTATGCTTGCCTGAGCCTGCTCTCAATCCAGTGTTCTGCACAAGAGCAGCAACTCTGCTCTCCCTCTTCACAGGGCCATTGGCTCCTGCTGCTTAAAGTCCTGTGAGGGTGTGGGGCCAAGCCATGCAGGCAGTGCGGCTTGGGACTGAGCCCATATGAGTGCCCCCATGGGAAGCATCGGAGATGCTGGTGGGGGACCCCAGAAGGAGGATCGGGGCTGTCCTATGCAAAACAATTTCACTGAGCAGGTAAGTATAACATGTTAGAAAAAAAAGGTTTACAGTCCCTATAAATTGCAAAGGAACAATAACTTACTAGAACTAGGCATGTGTGCTTGTTTCTTAGATTTGCATTGCATGGACTATAAAGGGAATAAAACTCTACCAGAACTGAGATTGTAATATTTCCTCCTTTATCCTCTTACCCCCCCCCCCCTTCCATGATCTTACCATTGAAATCAACAGCACAACAACCATTGGTCCCTCTGCACATGCTAAGGTGCTGTGTGTAATCCTAGACTCTGACCTCTTACTTGGGCTTTACATCCGATCACTGTTTAAATCTTACCTTCTTAACCTCCAAAATTTTCAGAATTGCCCCTTCCTGACCAGGGGTGGACTGACAACTCATGGGGCCCGTTTCCTTGCCCAAACTCAAAAAAGCCTATGAAGAAGGTACCAGGGGCATCCGATGAGGCCCCCTACTGACCCCAGGCCCTCGGGCAGTGCCCGAGTTTCCAAATGGTCAGTCCGCCCCTGTTCCTGACTGAGACCACAAAACTACCTATTCACTTTGTTATATTCTGCCTTGACTACTGCAACTCCCTCACTTGTCTACTTTTACACAGGATATAGCTCCTGTTATAAATGCTGCTGCTAGACATCTACACCTTACTAACCTATCTGTGATTGCTGCCTCCCTACTAATCCCTTCACTGGTTTCCACTTGCCCTGTGTATAATTAAAAAATGTTAACCTCAAGGTACAAAGCAGGACTCTGAGAATACACTGATCAGCGCTGCACAGCTGATTGGTAGTTTTCCAGCATTTCTATTTAACAAAAATGTACTTCTGTCAGACAGGGAGGGCCCCACACAAATCAAAATTAGGCCAGTCCCTGTCGAGCAGGCCTTATTTTTCTCAGTGTACCTAGCTTGTGTATCCAGCTTTAGAGGAACCCAGTCCTATCGCTAATCTTGTATACTCTTGCTGCTTTATGGGCTCTGGAGAAAAAGCGAGGGAAAATCTACAAGAAAAAAATCGACTACAATACCCAATTGATGTTCCAAACCTTCCCACTCTAACCAAAACTTAAATGGTAAATTGCTTGAATTGTGGTGCCAAAACGATTCTGGTCATGTGTAATCCATTACTGTCTTATCTGCAAAAACAATCCTATTATGTTTGTCTTGTCACAGGGGTGGATGAAGGCACCATCATTGATATCCTGACTAAAAGAACCAATTGTGAACGCCAGCAAATCAAAGCTGCTTATCAACAACAGACAGGAAAGGTAGCTAGAAGAAACTTGAGTAATACAATTTGATGGGTTATGCTGCAATTACAGAATATAGGATACAGAGGGCAAAAATATCAACAAATTAGTTAAAAGTAGGATCTTTATATCCAGGTAAGACTGTAGAGGAGTTACTGTAGTAGCCATTCAGACAATTTGGAGATTTACTAAAACTGGTGCATCAGAATTTGGTGCAGCTGTGCATGGTAACCATCGGTTTCTAACTACAGCTTGTTCAATTAAGCATTGACAATAAAACCTGGAAGCTGATTAATTTCTATGTAGAGCTGCACCAAATGTTGCACTCTTCAATTTTAGTAAACACCCCCATGGTTTCATCGGAATTTAAGAAAAAAAACTCAAATCAAGGTTCTTTAACACTGGAGAAAGAGCTGTGCTAACAGTTGGATACACCATAAGGTACATTTTATCTGAACATTTTTACTTTAAGTGGTACAATATACTAATATTCCCAGGTGTGGGATTCCCTAATCTCAAATATACCTTGACATGGACAAAATTGTCACTAGTACACCAAATTCTGGAGGTCTCTATAAATCATGGCAAGTGCAAGAAACAAGGAGTTGTGCTGATTATAAATGTGTTAAAGTTTATGCAAATACAACCTTATAGAAGCAACATGAGTCAATTGGACTTCTAACTTGGCTTGCCCTCACCTATTGTGACTAAACTGTGATCCTAAAGAGGAAATCTCCAGAAACCACCTACCAGAAATAAGGTGAATTAAGTAAGGAGCATTTCTGAATTGTAGCACTAGAAACTTGGCTCCAGGTCACACAAAGGATACAAAGTAAAGTGTTGGGAATCCTAACTACTTGTAGCCCTTCTGATGTTTTGTTATAACCTTACATTTTCTGTAATTAATCTAAAGACCCCATCTTGCATAGCTGCCAACATTTCAAAGAAAGCACCTTTTCGCTATGTGTCCAGCAAGCCAATTTAGGCAGAGAATGTACTTTATGGGTGGGGCATTCATTAAAAATGGTTGAGGTTTTACAAGAGGCATATCAATTATTCAATGTCTTTAATTAAGAGACCTATGGCCAAGCTTTTTTTTTTTTTGCCTAATGCAGTGTATGGTTGAGGCCATGGGCGCACAGGGAGCAGTGATCTACACATCCATGGGCGCACAGGGAGCAGTGATCTACACGTCCATGGGCGCAGAGAGGGGAGCAGTGATCTACACGTCCATGGGCGCAGAGGGGAGCAGTGATCTACACGTCCATGGGCGCAGAGGGGAGCAGTGATCTACACGTCCATGGGCGCAGAGGGGAGCAGTGATCTACACGTCCATGGGCGCAGAGGGGAGCAGTGATCTACACGTCCATGGGCGCAGAGGGGAGCAGTGATCTACACGTCCATGGGCGCAGAGGGGAGCAGTGATCTACACGTCCATGGGCGCAGAGGGGAGCAGTGATCTACACGTCCATGGGCGCAGAGGGGAGCAGTGATCTACACGTCCATGGGCGCAGAGGGGAGCAGTGATCGCCGCCCTATTCCCCATCCATGGGCGAACAGAGGAACTGACCCATTCCCCTTTCAACGAGTAAGGGGAGGAGGGTCACCCTTAATGATTTTAGCTATTATAGCACTCTCATACAGTTTGGTCATTAGCTCTGAGGACCACACTGACAGTCTGAACACCCTGCCCACTGCTGTGGCCATCTTTGTTCTCATATTATGCTTTACAGACATGTTTATGTTGTCTTTTTGACTTTTACATAAAACCTTGGATAATGCACTAGGTGTTTGCGCCACCTGATTGCTCTTTTTTATAGATGGCTGATTGTTCACCATAATATGAACTGTGTAACATGTCTGTATGTAGTACTCGTGTATAAATGGAATATGTGAGAGCTAGTTAACAGCAAGCAATTAACATATGAAGCTTCACGCCCCTGCAATATTAATATACATGCTAAAGTCAGGTGATGTCATCCTGAGTTGAGCTAACTACATAAAGTTTTGAGTCCTGTTTGATGCCGTTAAAAAGATAAAGCTGGTGACCAATATTATAATGATGCCGTTAAAAAGATAAAGCTGGTGACCAGTATTATAATGGAGTCCTAGATTCATTTTTGGATATCTGATAGTCTGTGCCACTCATTTTGACCTAAACTGCACCTTTTCTTTAAAATAGTCTTAACATTTTTTGTTAACATACTTGACATGTCTCAGAGTTTAGATGATGCATTGAAGAAAGCACTCTCAAGCCACTTGGAGGAAGTTGTTTTGGCATTGATGAAAACTCCAGCCCAGTATGATGCACATAACCTGAAGAATGCTGTCAAGGTAAGGAAATGAAACCGAATAGGGCCCATTTCAACACCCCATGTATTTTAAAACTCTGTGCTACAACTCGACATAATTCGAAAATTACTAGAATTCTTATTCTCAAAGCACTTTACAAAGGTAAGAGAAACAAAACACAGGATAAATCAAAAGGAACAAACACATGAAAGCTTGTTCAAAGAGCTTAGATTTCATTTGGGTTTAGAGAAGATTATTCTTTGGAAGTACATTCCAGAGTGTTTGGCCAAGGCAGGAGAAGGCCCTGTCTCCCATTTGAGTGTGGGGGGGGGGGGGGGGGGTACACAAGACCTAATTTGAGGAGCAAAGGTTATGAGGGGGAGAGGAAGTTGATATAAGTTTAAAGCAATAATGGGGAGCCAAGCCATTGAGAATCATAGGTGAGCAAGAGTATCTTAAGTCTGTGCAAGACAGTTAGCCATTGCAAGGACTCCAGGATGGAGGTAATATGGTAATTTTGTACCAGATCTAGCAAGGGTTCTGGATGCGCAACTTTGTACATATTGTAGTTGATTAGTGGATTTAAGTACACCAGTGAGTAGTGTTGCATTATTCACGTTGGTAGAACACAAATGTATGGATCAACTTTTCAGCTACAGTGTATGATGGCATAAGATGAAGCTGAGCAATGTTGCTCAAATGGAAATAGTTAAGCAGGCCCACTCAGTTAATTAACATACAGATTTTGCAATGTTGCATATGTCCACAAAAGCTAAAGTTGTTTCACTGCTTTGTTTTTCCTCTTTTGCTATGCTTGTCGTTTGCAAAAGTTTCCACTATAATAGGTAATCCTATTGACATGAATTCTTGCACTCCTGTTAAAGGGTGAACTTTAATTTGCCATTTTCTTCCCAGGAAAAAAAAAAAAAAAAAAGTACTAAACTCTGGGCCATTGGAGATTCACTCATTCAGATGGTCCTGGGTACATTGTTTTCAGATAGCTAGTGTAAACTTAATTTTCTTGCTCTTCTACTCCAACTTGCACATCAGTCAACCTTGAACATGGTATATTTTTCAGTTAATGAGTATATAAACGAACGGTCCAATGTTGTGCTCCACATTTTATTTATCGTAAATGATGTATTCCTCTTCCATAGGGACTTGGAACAGATGAAAGTACTTTGATTGAAATTCTTGTATCCCGGAACAATCTGGAACTCAGAGAAATTAATAAAGTTTATAAAGAAGGTAGGATAAACTTAATAAAAACCTACTGTTGATGAATTGCTGAAATAGAACTTGGAGAAGATCATGTTATGATCTGGCGCTACTCTAAAACACTGCAGGTCAATTCCATTTAAAAGTGACTATTTTGGCAGGATGCAAACAATCAAAAGTTGTCTTCTCTAGGGCTCCAGAAGTGAGATCAACACTGGAGTCAAGTTCTGCCAACTGCTATGACCACTAAAAGACAAGATGATGGTGTGGTCCCTACCAGAGTGAATTCTCTAGTATGTGATTTCCAGTGGAAAGACACCTTTTTTTTCATAGTTTGGTGAAAGGAATTCATGATAAACTGAGCATCTGAAATACTGCCAACCAAATAGCTAAACTTTTTTCACTACCTTTAGTATTTTACAGTGTAAAATTTTCATTCTACAAACCTGTGTAATTTGGTTTATAATAATCTGGTTAAACTATCCTGTATAGGGATAATCTGTTTAGCAGTACAAAAAGGGGAAAGGATCCAGAAATCAAAATACACACATTACAAAAAATTGTATAAAGAAACCACTTGGATGCAATTGATTCTATAAATTTGTTTTAAAAGCATTGATGAGGCTAAAGCAGGCCATACAGTGGGGAAAATAATTATTTGACCCCCCCCCCCAGCAGATTTTGTAAGTTTGCCCACTTACAAAGAAATGAAGGGTCTATAATGTTTATCACAAGTGTATTTTAAATAATAGAAACCAAATATCAACCAATATACAGGATACAAATGTTAAAAGTTAAGTTGCAGTTCAGTGAGTAAAATAAATATTTGATCCCTTACCAACTCAACAATAATTTTGGATCCCTTAGACTGGCTATGTGGTACACAGATTAGTTCTGTTAATATAAGGTGTGCCTAACGACAACTTGGTATAAGACACCTGGGCACCACCATTGGCAAGACCAAAGGACAAGATTGTAGACCTGCACAAGGCTGGAATGGGGCTACAAGACAATCAGCAAGAAGCTTGGTGAAAAGGAGACAACTGTTGAAGTGATTATTCGCAAAATAGAAAATATACTAAATAACAATCGCCCTCAGTCTGGAGCTCCATGCAAGATTTCACCTCATACGGTAAGGATTATCATGAGAAAAGTGAGGGATCAGCCCAGAACTAAACTGGAGGAGCTTGTAAATTATCTCAAGGCAGCTAGAACCACAGTCGCCAAACAAACCATTGGTAACACAATACGCAACCATGGACTGAAATCCTGTAGCACCTGTAAGGTCCTCCTCAAGGGGGCACATGTACAGGTCTTTTTGAAGTTTGCCAATGAACGTATAAATGATTCCGAGAAGGATTGGGAGAAAGTGTTGTGGTCAGATGAGACCAAAATTGAGCTCTTTGGCATTAAATAGACTTGCTGTGTTTGGAGGAAAAAGTGCTGACTGACACCATCCCTACAGTCAAGCACAGAGGTGGAAACATTATGCTTTGGGGTTATTTCTCTGCTTAAAGTACAGGCTGGCTTTTCTGCATTGAGTGACCAATGGACAGGGCCATGTATTGTAAAATCTTGGATGAGAACCTTCTTCCCTCAGCCAGAACATTGAAGATAGGTCTTCCAGCATGACAAACCCAAAACCTACTGCCAAGGCAACAAAGTGGCTGAAGAAGCACATTAGGGTTATGGGTTGGCCTAGCCAGTCTCCAGACCTTAATCCTCTAGAAAATGTATGGAGGGAGTTGAAACCAAGTTGCCAAGTGACAGCCAAGAAACCTTAAAGATTTAGATATCTGAAGAGTGGACCCAAATCCCTCCTGAGATTTGTGCAAACATGGTAACCAACTACAACAAACATCTTGCCTCTGTGTTCCCCAACAAGGGTTTCTCCACCACGTACTAAGTCATGCTTTGCTTAGGGATCATATAATTTTACTCTCTGAACTGCAACTCAATTTATAACATTTGTATCATGTGGTTTTGTTTTTTCTTTTCTGGAATTTTGGTTTATATTCTGTCTCTATATTTTAAAATAACCTATGATAGACACTTCATTTCTGTAAGTGGGCAAACTTACAAAATCTTCAGGGGATCAAATAAGTTTCCCCACTGCATTAATTTTTGTTCTTACAACCACAGGAAACAAATTTTATTTCCACACAATCATTCAATTGATTCCTTGCCATGTAGCATACTTTATACAGCCATGCATCTTTATCCACTGTGTGCTTTTGCCTGCTTTAGCTAGAGAGCCATTATGAATTTTTAGCAGCACCATTTGTCCTTTACCCAAGACTATTGCAAGATGTTGTTGAGCACTGTCACTTATGACACTGTTAAATTAAGTAAACTAATCCATGGCAACAACCATCTAAATCGCATACCTATGCAAATTGATAGGTAGAATAAATTCTCTCATGGGACTAGCTTCTGCATGCTGTGGGATGAAATTGAGACGTGGCTGGTTGTATTACTGAATTGTGTGGGTTTTTTTTTTTTTTTTTTTTTTCAAACCAGAGTTCAAGAAGGAACTTGCAAAAGATGTTGCTGCTGACACATCTGGAGACTTTCAAAAAGCCCTGCTAGCACTCATTAAGGTATTATGGCTTGTGCATATTGTGCTAGTCTGATTGCATTGCTCTTGTATGTTCACATTTAAAAGGAATGCAGCTATTCTATATTTAACAAGTTCACATCACTTCCTTTCTTTATAGCTGTATCCTTGGTCCCCTGAACCCCCCTCACCCACAGCCATGTCTACCGCCCTTCACACCCCCTCACAGCCATGTCCTCTGCTCCCATCTTCTCTATCTCCACAATGCATACATCTCTGCAAACTAAACTCCCTAAACACCCTAAAACTAAACTACTAAACACAGCACGGTTTCCTTTCCACTCCACTAAAAGCCAACCACAAACTAAACCCCAAGCTGGACTACTTCCATTGCTGCATGCCTGGACACAGCAAACAAGAGGATGCGGAGACTTGCACACAGTTCTGGATGGCGGGAGGCAGCACTGGATGGGGGGGAGCTTCCGGAATTAAGATTTGTCTAGGCAGCTTTGAGCAACCAATCACCAGCTTGTTAATAGAAATGGTTAACTCATCAGCTGTCTGGTAATGCAGTTGATTAACACGGTACTTTACAATTCTGTATTTACTGCACCTAACCATAAATCTGTAACACTGTATAAGTTGTACTGCACCATTACAAGGGCACATATAAAGGAACTATGCTTTACCCATGTGTCTGTTTGCATTTCATGTCAGAGGTTTAGGATGTAATCAGCCAAAGCATATCCCTCTAATGTGTACTTGTCTCAACCCAGAGCACTAAATGTAATTTGTCTGCTTCATTTCTATGCTGAGTTACTTTGACAAGTTTTACACAAGCTGCAGTATTTACTGGTTACTTAGTTTGTCTGGCTGAAAAGACAAAAGCCCCTCCAGTTCAACCATAAAGTTATAATCCTACACCCACAGTTGATCCAGAGGAAAAGCAAACCATGATGCAATTTGCTCCTGCAGGAGAAAAATTTCCTTCCTGATTTCCCGAGAGGCAATGGGATATTCCCTGGATCAACTTTACCTATAAATGGTAACCACTTATATTCTGTGTATCCAAGAGAGAATCCAGGCCTTTTTTAAGCAATTTACTGAGCTGGCCAGAACCAACTTGACTGAGTCTGAGTCTCCACCTCAACGCTGGGAGGCCTATAACAAAATCCAGTTGACTTTTGTAGTACGCACCCCCATGTGCAGTTCCACCCATAATGCTTCAGCCTCATCACACTCTCAAACTAGGTCCTCTTTCACACTCTCTCTGAGATCACTTCTCACATGGACACCACCACCATTCCTATTTACCCTGTCTCTCCGAAAGAACATAGCCAGGAATATTAATGGCCCAGTCATGTGGAGAATGAAGCAAGATTCAGCAATACCAATTAAATCCTAGTTCTGTTCATGCACCAAAACTTCCACCTTGCCTATTTTTGCTTGGCAGACTTCTGGCACTGGTGAACAAACTCTTTACTTGACTACTTGTGCACACATTTTGCATATTTTCATACAATTACTACCAATTCCACTGGTAGTTTGTAACATGGGAACCTTATCTGCCCATAACCCCCCCCCCCCCCCATCTTTCCCCATTCCACCCACCAATAAGTACGGACCCCTGTCTGATCTGTCTGCTCTGTTATAATCCAATTCTCCCAACCCCTCAATCCTAGTTTAAATACTCCTAGTCTTCCCATAAACCTCTCCCCCAGCACAGCAGACCCCCTTCCATTAAGGTTTGAACTGCTGTAATGCTGACACTCAGTGGCTAAATATCTCCTTGCCATGGGAACTTTGCCATACTGAAGCCTCTATCTGCTCAACCCAGCTCTGATGAAGGGAGCACCCTTCGAAATGCGTTAGCCTTCATTCCCCCCCCCCCCTTTTTTTTTGGATTATGGTTACTTATGCCTGTTATATCACGTTGTGAGTATATTTCCTTTATAATGGTCACTATTGAGGTAATGCGCAAGGTTTGTGCGCTCTTTCATCTTCTACCGTTTTATCAAGCTTCCCCAGCTTTATGATTAGAGCTGCACAACCTCTGATCACCAGCGGATGAACACACAACACGCTGCTTGTTACTAACGCCCGTTTGATCTGAGTCTTTTGAGCGCAGAAGATAATGGATCTTTGGTGACCACCACATGCTAAACCCTGGCAGCAGGGAGACGGCAAACTATTCAGTTGAGGCAATCCTGTTGACACATTATTTTAGCAGTCCTGATTATAGAATCTTCTACTACGTCTAGGCCATCCTGCACTACCCACCACCACCCCTCCCAGACGGTCTGCCCTCCTGGCTGTTGGGGATAGCGGTGATCTCCAGGGCTGCCACACCTGAGCTTGCCAACTCCACATCTTCACCCAACTTGGCAAATCTGTTTGGGTGCACAAACCAAGGGCCAGCCTTCCCCTTCTGTGAGCCCCTACCACTCTCTCTCATTACAGTAACCCATCTTCCTACCTGATGATACTGATTAGCCCCTCCATCAATCCCATTAGCTACCTTCTCAGAGCAGAAGACCCCTTTCAAGGTTGTTGGTTCTGCCCAGTGTTGCAACTTGCTCCTCCAGATCTCTAAGGTGAGTTTCTAGAAGGGAAATTCGCTCGCATCTGTCGCAGCAGTATCCATCCTGGAGCTGTTGCTCCATTGTTGCATACATGTGGCACACTGTGTACTGCACAAAACCTTCAACCCTGCTAGCACTCATCCCAGTTACAATATTAATAGGAAATATCAGTTGTCACTTATAGGTTGGTAGACTCCTGTTTTCCACGCCGGTTTTTTTTTTAACTGCACTTATCAAATGTCCACTTGCTCAAAGGTCCAGCAAGCAAGCAAAATACAGGCAAACTTGAGTTCTACAGCAAGTTTTTATATAGTACCTGTGACCAATTAACCCCTCCCCTTGGTTAGGTTTTTAGACCTAAATGGTGATATGCACAGGGAAAATATAAATAGTCTACTTTTTCCTTTTTAAGGTTGTTTTAATGTTATACATGTATTTAAATTATGTTTAATACTTTTCACTTTCTAGGGTGAACGCAATGAATCTGCAACTGTGAATGATGAGCAGGCTGACAATGATGCCAGGGTAATAAAGCTGCCACTGATCCATATTTTTTTTTTTATTATTTTTTTGTGTATCTCATGTATGGTCTCATGTCTTAATTGCAGGCTCTTTACGAAGCAGGAGAAAAGCGCAAAGGAACAGATACGTCCATATTCATAAATATTCTCACTGCAAGGAGCTTTCCCCAGCTTCACAAAGGTAGAGGGGGAAACTAGAATCTTTTCCGTGAATACACATGGCGTTGTGATTGTACTGTTTGCCTGATAGGTTCTGAAATGACTTGGTGGTCCATATTTTCAGAATTGTATTTAATTTAGATTGTAGGCTCTCCCTCAAATGTTCTATGTATGCTGGTGTAATTGGCATTCTGTAGGGCAGGGGTTGGCAACCTGACTATGGCAATCAATCCATCAATCTTGGGTAGGTGATGGGTGGATGGTGTTCCTTCCATGCTGAATGTCCGATCCTGAACAGAAGTGGCAGCAGCATTTATTGAAAATAATCTCTATTATCCTCCAGCAGCTGAAAGCCTGCTTCTCCAACCCCCATGCCCCCCTCACAGCGCTGCTGGTTTCCTCTCCTCTCCTGCCAGCTGCTGTGGGGGATTTCAAGGCAAACAGTGGGGAAAGGGGCTGGTAAATGTAATTTACTGGCCCCTTTTCCTGAATGAACAGTGAGTGCTTTAGCGATCATGCTCTGTACATTCATACCTGAAGCATGGTAAGCTATTTACTATGCTTTGGTTTGTGAATGAACAGGAAGCCACTGCAGAGCTCTTCCCATTTCATTCTGTGCAGCTGAGGCTACAGAAATGGAGAATGAGGACTGTCATCAATCTCCTTATTGGATCTCAAAAAATTGTAAAAAATACTACAAACCTAAAATAACAAACTAGTATTCCTGTCCTCTGCCCTACTGACCCCATCCGTTGCCCTTTTGACACTGTTCCCTTCCAGGTAGGCTAATTGTGTGTTTTTGTGTTTTTTTGTTTTTTGTTTTTCATTCATGTAGATCTCCACCTCGCAAGGGTTGCCTACCCCTGCTCTAGGGCAATGACTAGGTAACAGGATTGGACACCCAGAAAATAAACTGGAATGTAATACACTGAGCAAACTAAAAGACTCGCTCTTGAGAGAGGTGTGAAGTGTAAAGCTGGCCATACATGGATTGAAATTCTGCTGGTAAAGCAGGGACCAGCTGAATTCTGATCCATGTACGGGCAATGTGGTTTTATAAAGGTCTGTCCACTAATTATTTTTTTTTTTTGTACAACCACCCTGCCTACTTTCCCCTGCTCAATCAATCAGTGCTGCAGGCTATAGCTTACAATGCTGATTAGTGTATTGTGGTGGTAAAATCTTCCTGCTGTCTGAATACAATAGCTCAGCGGGGGTGTGGATGGGGGATTTGAGTCTGTGTTTGTGGGTGGTATTTTTTTTTTTTTTCTTGTTTGCTTTTTTTTTTTCCCAACCTGCTGGCTGAAAAAACTGACTCGAAGGGTGTTTTTAGGCAAATGTACAGTCTGTTTATACAGGTAGAAAATTGTTGTCCTGTGTTTATTGTAGTTTTGTGGGCAGCACAGTGGCTTAGTGGTTAGCAAGTCTGCCTTGCAGTAAATGGGTCATGGGTTCAATTCCCGACCATGGCGCCTCCTGCATGGAGTCTGCATGTTCTTGTGCTTGCCTGGGTTTTCTCTGGTTTCCTCCCATGCTCTAAAAACATGCTGGTAGGTTAATTGGATCCTGTCTAAATTTGGCCCTAGTATGTGTATGTATGAATGTAAATTAGGGACCTTAGATTGTACACCCCTTGAGGGTTAGGGACTGATGTGAATGTTCAATATATATGTAAAGTGCTGCGTAAATTGACAGCGCTATACAAGTACCTGAAATACATAAAATATTGGTCATTAGTAAACTTATGGGCACTGTTCTCAAGGCAGATGTTATCTCTTCACTGATTGTACTGTAGGTAGCAGAATGCTGTGTACTTTGGAGAATTTTTAAATGTTAATACTTCTGTTTTTCTGTAGCCTCTTCACATGCACAGTCTACATCCATAACAGGCTGAATGTTTTTGTGTGTTTTTTAAATTGGCATATTTTCTGTTTTGCTGGCTGCAATTGTGTTAACAAAACCTGTCCTGAGTCCACATGTCAGCTATGCTCACACTGTTACCAGAGCTTTAGGTTCATTTTCTAGCCCCAGGCTCCAGTAGGTTTCCTGAAATCCTGTTTTTCCACATAGTGACTTGCCTCTAATAATGCTTGTTTGCTACAGCCCTGAAGTATTGCCTGTTTGTTTCTCATATTGTCAAGTGTGCGCCATGTTCTGATTCTATTACTAGTCAACTGCCATCTGCACAGGTGTGCTTAAGTGCTGCAACCTGGTACACCCCCAATAAAGCCCATCCCTCATTCTTACATGGTGCTCCTGTGAAGACCTGGTGTGTGCTTACTGTGTTCCTTGGCTTCTTAGAACACAACACTATGGTATTATGGTAACACATGGTACATGCATTGGTGCAATATGCCATTCATCTGAATGGCACCCCAAAGCACCTTAATGTCATACATTGCAGTACAATGCACTTCTGTTGGCAAGGTGCATTTAGGTTCCATTCTATGAGCCACATAGGCTCACATACTTCAACATACAGATACCAGACATCCAGGTTTTTTTTTTTTTTTTTTTTCTTTACACAAAAATCTGGCTCTCTCATTTGCACAGGTGTCTGAAGAATATAACCTTATACATTAGGGGAAAGTCCATCACTCTTTGCAGGGTGCTCTGGTGAAGGTTCATGTGCTTAGATTTTTCTCTGCCATTTAATTTAAAGGGGTTAAGTGTCCTTTTATGACACAGAGAATAGCTGCGATTCAACGGATCTCAGCTATTCTCTGGTCATTCACAGTTTGACACTCAGGAGATCATGTCAGCCTTTCTCTGGAGATCTGTGTTCTCCCTTCAGATTCTCCAGCCCAGAGCTGGAGAATCGGAGGGACCGAAAACTAAGCAGAGATAATTTACCTCTGCTTAGTAAACTGATCTTTTACTGTAATCTCGTGAGATTATAGTAAAATCAGCCGTTTTTCAGAGTTTGTAGACCGTTTTCCAGCGTTTGGAGACCGTTCTCCCTTCGTTCGGAGAACTGCTTCATAAACAGCATTCACAGGAAAACTGTGTTCTCCGAGAATGCCGGAGAACTGAGCAGCGATCTATTACCGCTGGTTCACAAACGGACACCTTTATTCCCACTGCAATGTGCAAAATTTTTTCTCCAGTGCAAATTCTCTGCACTTTAACCTTTTTAACCCATTAAAGACATTATAAACTCTATTTTAATCTGCAAGGTGGTATTCTTTGTAGCCAATTCCATCACCTCTGCCAGAGGATTGGGAGAAAAAATATGTAATTTTCAGACTTGGGTAGTTTTTACCTCAACTGACTCAGTCCTTTATCCTCTTGGCTACTTTAAAAAAAAAAAAGTAAAATCTGGAGAAACATTGTGGCGTTCCCCTTAATAATTCACAAAAACCTTTATTCACACATAGGAACCTGGGTAGCCAGTAGAGATGATCTCAGACTTTGGTCTGAAAGGAAGTTTGGAATGAACACTGGCTGTTCAGATGTTTGCCCAAGTGTTTAGGGGTTTGGCATAACCAAAAATGACAACGTTCAACTGTCAATGATTGCTGAGTTTCAGGTGATGGCACCCACTGCATCTATACCACTTTTTGTCACCTGGCCTATTCACTTATATGGCTGGGAATCTCTGGCCCTTGTTGGCAAACTAGCAGGGATCAAAGTGCTTGCATCATTTCAATAGGGCCACTAGAATGTTCTGTTAGCTTGTATGGTGTTTGACTAAAACTGCAGTCATGTTCTTCATGTAAGGTGAAAGTCAGTTAATATAGAGCTTAATTGAATGGATGTTGTACATACTACTGACCAAATTTATTGCAGTCTAAAACATTGTAGCTGGAGTGAATGTAGTATAAGGTTGTGCTATTGGTGCAGTATCTAGTCTGCATATATCATTTATGCATTCTTTTTTTCCTTTAGTTTTCTCCAGGTATCGTGCATACAGCAAAAATGATATGTCCAAGGCTATAGATCTTGAGCTGAAGGGAGACATTGAAAGCTGTCTGATGTCACTTGGTAAGTGAGTTCTATCATTATGATACAAAGTGCTGTATGCAGTATGAGCAGAAATAAGTGATATTAGATATAAACCTAGTGTAAACTTAGTTTTTTTTTTTTTTTAAAGATAATTAACCCCAAACCAAAAAATTGGATGTTGTGGCTTGCCTATCATTTAGATGTGATGGCTGCATCAGGTTTGTTTTTTGGTGGGTTTTTTTTTTTTTTCCCCCTTTTTGGTTACTGGCCAGATAACCAGATGAAAACTAATCTCCTGTATTGGTGTCCTCATTCTGGATGAAGGGACACAACAGACAGCAACATTGTCAGTCTTGGTGGAGGGAGGGTAGTGTTAAATGTATTAACAGATTAAAGCGCACTAACAAATTTAAGCCAAAAGCCAGCACTTTATTATCTGTTACAGTGAACAGATGGGTTTACATGGAAAAATAACACTGATCATTGTAGGAATCCATGCCAGGGTTAAATGGTTTGTCTTATTCTTGTGAAAACCTGATACCAGCTGGATCATCAGATGAAAATAAAGATTAAAAAAAATGCAGCCATCACATCTGAATTGGTAAGCTGCAATAAGTTTGCATCAGAGTTTTACGTATTTAGAGAGGAATGTCTATTCTTTATCAGAATCAAACCTATCAATATCTAACTGAAATATAAGTAAACTCGAACAAAAAAGCAATACAGCTGGAATTGCAGCTTACTGCTTACCAGTATGGTGTATATGAACAGGCACCATAGGAAGCAATGTTTTTTTCACATGTCATGCAGATTGGATACAGTTCAGACAGCACCCAATCTGCATGTACACTTTATTGTCAAAAGTATTGGGACACCCCTCTAAATCATTGGATTCAGGTGTTTCAATCACCTCCATGTCCATATGTATGTAGAAGCAGTCTGCATGCCTAGATGCTTGATTTCAAACATTTTGTGAAAGAATGGGTCGCTCTCAGGACCTCATTGCACAGGTGGCAAACCTATCACAATAACACACTTTAATACACAAAGTCCATCCGTAAATTTTTTCCTTGTTAAGAAATATTCCACGGTCAATTGTTAGTGGTATTATAACAAAGTGGAAGCAACTGGGAACAGCAGCAACTCGGCCACAAAGCGGTAGGCCACATTAAATGACAGAGCAGGTAAGCGCATGCTGAAGCGCAGAAGTCGCCAACTGTTTGCAGAGTCAATAGCGAAAGACCTCCAAATGTCATGTGGCCTTCAGATTAGCACAAGTGTGTAGAGCGCTTCATGGTATGTGCCTCAATGGCTGAGCAGCTGCATCAAAGCCTTACATCCTCAAGTGCAATGCGTCTGAAGCAGTGGCATAAAGAGCACTGCCACTGAACTCTTGGTCAGTGGAGATGTGTTCTCTGGAGTGACGAATCGTGCTGCTTTCTGGCAATCCGATTGGCCGCTTCTGGGTTTGGCTTTTGGCAGGAGAACGATTCTTTCCTGACTGCATTGTGCCAAGTGTAACGTTTGGAGGTGTTTAAGGTGTTGGGCTTCACCCCTTAGTGCCAGTGAAAGGAACTCTTAAGGCATCAGTATACTAAGACATTTTGGACAATTTCATGCTCCCAACTTTGTGGGAACAGTTTGGGGATGGCCCCTTGCTGTTTGAGCATGACTGAAACCAGTGCAGAAAGCAAGGTTCCATAAAGACATGGATGAGCGAGTTTGGGGAGTAGGAAATTGACTGGCCTGCAGAGTCCTGACCTCAACCTGATAGAACAAGTTCAGGGTGAATTAAAGCTGAGACTGCAAGCTCGGCATTCTCATCTGACATCAGTGCCTGACCTCACAAATGCACTTCTGGAAGAATGGTCAAACATTCCCATAGACGCACTCCAAAACCTTGTGGACAGGCTTCTCAGAGTTGAAGCTGATATAGCTGCCAAGGGTGGGCCAACTCCATATTAAACCCTACGGACTAAGACTGGGATGCCATTAAAGTTCATGTGCATGTAAAGGCAGGAGTCCCAATATTTTTGGCAGTATAATGTATGTGAACTGGCGCTAACTGCATCAAAAGTGAACCTGGTCTGATTGCCATCTCCTAAGCTCCTTGAGCTGAAAATGACAGCTTATCTAGGGCTATAAACTGTCTTGAAAAACTGGGCATACATTGATTGCATATGTTCTTGCAAATGGAATTTTTTAATAGGTTTCTAACTATTTGATTTTGCAGTGAAGGTTGCAACATCCAAACCAGCTTACTTTGCTGAAAGATTTCACTTGTCAATGAAGGTATGTTTATTTCATTACTGCTTACAAGAGGCCACTGATGTCCTAACAAATATATACAACATAAAGTGGCCATTTCCAGTGCATTGCTTGAAAGAGCAGGGCCCTCGATCCCCTTTTTTTTTTTTTTTTCTGTCACACAAGGAATGTCCCCCTTTGTAATGTACAGCGCTGAGCGAACTATTGGCGCTTTATAAATACCAATAATAATTTAATTTTTGCATTGCAAGAATGTACACATTTTTTTTTTTTTTTTTTCACCACACAATATAGGGCATTGCCTTGCTCTGTAGTGCCACTTTAAACATAAAACCTTCAGAATTAGTTGCTTCCACCATGATTTTTGGTTTTCATTTTTTTTTTCATGCATCAAGGATAGGGCATTACACATGTTGACACAAAATGTTTGCAGGGCACTACAGAGATTAGTTGCTTGCACCTGATAAATGTACTCAGTTCACAGTTTCACATCAAGGAGGGTTACACAGTTACACAGTTACACAGTTACACAGTTACACAGTTACACAGTTACACAGTTACACAGTTACACAGTTACACAGTTACACAGTTACACAGTTACACAGTTACAGTTACACAGTTACACAGTTACACAGTTACACAGTTACACAGTTTACACAGTTACACAGTTACACAGTTACACAGTTACACAGTTACTTTTTTTTTTTTGGTGGTGTTCCATCTCTCCAATCTAAGCATTGAAAGTGTGGTCTCTGTAACTTGTGATGAGCTAGTGATAACTCCAATCTTTAACACAGGCAGTGACTCTATCGGGTGACACCTTTTTTAGATCTTGTGAAGTTTATTCCATAAACTGAGAGAATCTTACAATGAACATCAGGTCAAAAGATCATAATGTGATCTACTTCATGACATGAGGCTAGAAGCTGAAATGCATTACTGGGAAAAGGGGTGGGCTATCTATACAGCAAGAACTAAACCAGAGGAAAGGGAGGAGCAGGGACAAAATACTTAAAGGCATATGACAGACATGTGTAACATGACAGTTGGGGTTCCCTATACATGTGTTTTTAAAAACACCACCATCAATCACAGTATTGTGTGAAAAAACAAAAAGGCAGGTACGTTTGGAGCAGATGGGTCTTGTGTAAAGCACCAAGGTTATCACTGGTTTAGTTTCAGGGCTCAAGCATACTTAAGGATGTGTTGGCCTCTGCTACAATGCAGTATAGTCTGCCCATTGCGCTTTAGTGCATCTACCCTGATTTGTCAGCTTCATGACGGCTCTGAAAAGGTGAAGATCCCATTTTCCATTCCTATGGATCAACGTTTTCATGAGGTTTTTTTTTTTTTTTTTTTTTTTTTAAATCGTGCATTTTGCAATGTTTAACCTTTACTGAAATGGTTTTACAGAAAGAATTACCTGGTGATCCTGCCAGTAGCTTCCTTCCCACTGGCAACACTCTGCAGGCTGCTCTCCCTGCAGCCTTGCCATTCCCCTGTGTTCATGCTCCAGTTCTCTCAAACATGTAAACTGTAAAACATTCTGGAAAAATCACCTGACATTTCTTTCTGAAAATGCTAGCTGTCTGGCTTTAAGTGACTGACCAAGAACAACTCTACACATTGGGAATTGGGAATCTATTATCCAAATTAGTTTTACTGCTCAAGATTTACTCCATATGCAAGCCAGAGGATATGATAGCTGGGTAGCTAGCATTTTCATTAGCAGGCAGCTTATAGATTTTGGTGCACATTGAAGGAGAGAAATTGAGCAAATGCCATCTGGCTTCAACATGCCATAGGCATTCCACTGTGCAGTCAAGCTTGGCAGGTGTGCTGGTATGCAGAGTTTAGAGGTCTGGGTTTAGTTGAATATTTTTATAATGGGCTTGCTGGGTTTTGAGTCTCCAAGGGTACTAGATAAGATAATGGTAAGTAAAGGCATTTCCTGGTATCAGTCTAGTTGCATTAAAACCTAGGGAGGCACTTTAAAAAAAATAAAATAAAAAATGGACAGACTTTCATTCGTTTGGAATAAAGTTACTCTGTGTTAGTGTGGTTTTTTTTTTTTTCTGTGGTATGTTTTTGGAATTTGACGAGATATAGAGATATAGAAATTTTTTTTTTTTTTTTTCTTTTAGGGATCTGGAACCAGACATAAAGACTTAATAAGGCTCCTGGTATCTCGCTGTGAAATTGACCTAAAAGAGATCAAATATCACTATAAAAATTTGTTTGGAAAGACACTGCGCACGGCTATTATGGTAGGTATAGGTTTGCGTTCAACAGTGCAAGGAGAAGAGTATATGCAGAACACTTTAAGTGTCCATGAGTTACTACAGAGACATTGATGCTCCCAAGTATATTTAACTACAAGTTGAACTGGAAAAAAGTGGAGAACAGCTGCAGATATGACTTAGACACATGGCTGAGCCCTTGTTTTAACATACAATTACATCATACCTATAGTGTTCAACTAGAGCCAGCAGTACATTATGAAAGTGTAAACCACTACTACCACCTAGTGGAAGAACTACTAAATACAGGATAATGCCCATGTTCTTATAAACAGCATGCTAACACCCCCCCACTCAACTACTTCTCATTAGTCCCATCTTATTTTGGAGCTCTTCAAACTTTGGCTTTAGATGTTTTGTCAGTGTCTGTAGAAGAGAATGTGATTTATGCTTGCGTACTGTGAAATTGATAAGATTATAGCAAAGTCTTAAAGCTAATGGAGTCTATCAATTTGTTTCATTTCTGGCATTGACTTCTTCACGCTTTGCAAGATTTAAAAATCCTTGATTGTCCTCAAACTGTAGGCTGAGACTCCGGTCTTTGAAGATCTAAGTAGCTGCTGGAACTAAATGACATCTTGACACACGCATAACCTGCCATGATGTTCAGCTTCTGTTAGATATTGCCACTAAGATTTTGCTTTTTGTTGGGCAAGAGTATTGAGCTATTCCCTAATTGCAGTTTAAATATTTTCTGAATTCTGGGTCCTTGTTTGCAAATTTCAGGTTCATGGCTTGAGTTGGTTTTAGGTACTGAATTAATTTAGTTCCATTCCAGTTCCCGTTGGCTCCTACATCTGGACATCTAGTGATTCAATGTCTGAGAGAACCCATGTCCCTTTGCAGATGTTCCATGCACACTAGCTTAAAAATAAGCTCCTAGCAGCTACTTGTGAGCAGGTTTGAAGGTGTGTGTGTGTGTGTGTGTGTGTGTTCTTGCCATTCTTATTCAAAGACCACTTGTCCTTTTAAGAGGGGACAGGACACAGGCTCCCTTCCCTCTGTTCCTTTGATCCACTCCTATTGCTTGCCAAGAAAACTGAGGCTTGCTGGGAATAGCAGTACTATAAGGGCAGATTTTGCATTAGGGGCATATTCGTTGTTTACACTTTCACTAGCATTCATTCACAAATTGCCTTAACTGATTTAATACCACCATACCTATTCATACAGCCTGGTATTGAAGTGGTTATACCAGGATCATGACTGCAGCTACAGTCCTGATTCTGGGTTGGTGATTCTCTAAAGGTAATCAGAGTGGCTGTAGAGTCGCTGGATTACTTTTACAGATGGCGAAAGGCCCACTACCAACACACACCACCCTCCCTTCACCCCTGCTGTCACCTTTTTTTACCAGGCTCTCCCAAGTCATCAGGGAACCCGGTAAGGATGCAACCAGCAGCAACTGCCTCCTCACAGTGAAAGGAACAGATGTTTCTCCAACTGTCTGATGTCCAAAACCAGAAGTGAAATCCTCATTGCTTCTGGTTTCTGTTTCTTTGGTTACCAGCTTGTGAAGCAGCAAATCAAATAATTTTTTTATTATACAGGATTTACATAGCACTGACAGTTGGCTCAGTGCTTTACAATATAACAGGAGACAATAGGAGGGCCCTGCTCCTTGGAGCTTACAATCGCTTGTAAACAATCTGTTTGATCTGCTGCTTTAAAGCCCAGAGGAGAGATGGGCTCCCAAAAGACCCGTCATGGCCCATGCTATCACAAGCTGTGAACATCACTTGTCATGGCAATGAATGGGATTTAAAATACTTTGAATTTTACACACTTTTCTTCAATAAAAAGTGCTCGCATGCAAAAGTGAACACGTGCATCAGTCCTGCATGCATGATAAACTGATTGTACCACACATGAGGTATCCCCGAGAATGTTGGTGAGAGCAGTAGTTCTGGTGCCAGACCTCCTGTGTAACTCTAAACTGGTAACCTGTAAAGGATTCTAAAATGTTTCCTACAGATAATTTAATGTATCATGGTTTGTCACAATTTTAAAGAATTTGGTATCTATTTCTTGGCATAACATCCTTTATATTTTTACAAAAAATGGGTATTCACTAAAATTCATTGGTGGGTTTTTTGTTTTTGGGGGTTTTAATTTGTACTTGAAAAACTTCTGTGCAAGTACAGTATGATATAAAAATTGCAACACCCACCATTTTATTCTCTAGGGCCTCAACCTCCAAACATTAAGCAAATTAAATTTCTAGCAGAAATGCAGGTTTTTTTTCTATAGAATTGGCACAGTAGGAAAGTGGTTAAAATTATTCCAGGATAAATTTGTCATCTGGTTGAGCATAAAGTGCTGAAATTGTGTGTAATGGGTTTATGGTTGACCATGGAGTAGTGGTACTGAAACCTGAATCTTAATATTTCTTCTAGATCACACTCATTCCTCTATTTCTAACGTCCTATATAATTCTGCATGTGCTAGCCTTTCAATATCTTGACAATAAAATTTAAAAACATTACACCAGCCAAGCTATCAGTTGTGTACTTCCTGTGACCTTTCCCGCACATTTCTTTTGCAGCCCTTCCCACTTTTTTTTTTTAGTTGTAAACAGTATGCGCACAATCTGCTTATCTATGCTTGGGGATAGATTAGTACTTTTGATCTTTCTGCCCACTCATGTGTTGGTGTTTTTGATTTGGGTTTTTCTATACCATTCATGTACCCCTGTTATTAGCTGCATCCTCATTTTGTACTTCAGGACTGGTAGTTGTGTTTTTGTTCATTTTTTTTTTTTAAATCCTTTTTTTAAATCAAATCTTAAATGGTCAGAAAACCTGTTTTGATTGCCAGGAGTATTCACATTTGTCACTACTGTATCTGAGCAGTATTTAGTACTGTAGTTGGATCCATGACCTGGTGGAAAGCTTCTGCAGATATGACAGTCAGTATTTGGTTTATACTTTGAGCTCAGTTGAGTCTCTGACCACTATTGCCTAGTGACAGAACTACTAATTGGGGTATGAGAATGGTTGTTGCACCTATATCTGTATAAACAGTCTGCAAACACCATGGGACTGAACCAGCTAGACATGACTGCCAAGGGAGAAATCTGCAGTAGCTTCAGAAATGAGGCACACGTGGGTTTGTAGCAGAACGCTGAATTCACAAATGGTTTCCTAGTAACATCAAGGATGCCAAGCCCCTTGAGAATACTTGGGAAAGTGTTTTGTTTTGCCATATTTATTGAATGACTTAATACATATGATTTTTACACTTGCAGGAAGAAAAACTGAAAGGAGACTATGAAACCATTATGCTGTGCCTTTGTGGCCCTGACAACTAGAAGACACGTCATTTTTATAAAATCCGTAGAAGACTGGAGTAATTTGTTACTCTGGTTAGCTGGAAATGTGGATTTTATAGTTCCTACAGAACAAGTTTTGGATTTCTATTACTAAAAATGCAAATCATTATAAGCATAAATCTATGTAATAAATATAATTGTGTATATAGTGTCCACTTTTTTCTTTTTTTCCCCATTCAAACAGTTAAATGAGGGTGTAATACACCAAATGCATACCAGACTCTTATTCAAAGGGTGTTAAGTCATGTGGGCATGATTTAGGCACTCATTTATGTAGGAAGTCATCCAGTTGCCTATGGTGCCAGGTGTGCATGGAGAACGCATCATAGGAATGTTTTAGACTGTTGAGAGGTAAAAGTCCCATGGAGGCCTGTTTAAAACATGTAGTATCCCCATCCCCACTTCAGGTTTTGAAAAACGGGATATCCTTACCAGGTGGGAACCAGGGGAAGCCACCTAAAGGTGCGACGGGGGAATGGTCTCCATTTCTATTAACCTGGTTCCAGACTGTGTTCAGTATGAGAGGGGTCTTCCAACTGGACAGACCATTGGCTGCATGCAGAATCCAGGTTGCTCCTGTAGGTTCCTAGTGACCCATATCTTTTGAGTGGTGACTCCAGTTAAGAGTTTGAACTAGTGCCATGGCCTTGTAGTATAGCGAGACATTGGGTATGCCCAGGTCCCCATCTTCCTTGCATCTGTGGAAGAGAGAATGCCTTTCTAGGCTGTTTCCCCTGCCAAAGGAAGGTTGTAAACAGCTGACTTGGTCTCTACAGTCCCTATACACTTACACTTGGTCATCTTAAAAACATTATTAGTAAGTACAAAACTTTTGGTAGGATGCATCAATACACTTAAAATGACAATTCTAACATGTGAGTGTAGTTGCATGGTATGTAAATCTTTTCCCCTCCTGTAAAAGTGTTCCATAGTTTGTAGAGTAACCATTTGCGGTCAGTGGATATACACTATATTGCCAAAAATATTGGGACACCCCTCCAAATCATTGAATTCAGGTGTTCCACTCGCCTCCATGGCCACCGGTGTATCAAGCCTAAATGTAGAAACACTCACACGTGTGAAGTAATCATAAGCTTAAAAACCGTGGTTAACGGTGGGGTGGGGTAGCGGCTTGAAAAAAAACCGCACTTCCGCCTTCCACGGCCAGCGCATGTTCTGAAACGCATCCCAGTGCACCCTGGGATCTGACGTCATCACTGCCACGCTGCCACTACGTTCCAGCATGCCTTCCATCCGCCTCTGAGGGAGGACGTGAACGCCAGCTGGCCTCACTGCTGTTCCCCTCCAGCCACCACGATGTTCCAGCCGAGAGCTGACCTCACCACATCGCAGTAAGATGACGGCTCTTCACCCGGGTTACCACCCCACCGTTAACTATTGTTAACCACGGTTTTGAAGCTTATGATTACTTAACACGTGTTTCTACATTTAGACTTGAATAAAAAGACTTACTGCACTTAGAGGCGCTTCTCTCCTTTTCTCATCTACAGAGGTGCGCTTCTCTCCTTTTCTCATTTACAGAGGTTGCTACAACTTATTTGGAAGCCTTGCCCTCAGTGCCACACGGAATCCTACGCTTTTCATACAGTAGCCACTAATACCACGATCACCCCATACTACCATTTCCCAGGACTTTGCAGTGTTGGCGCTGTTATAACCCTTCCTCATTTTTTTCTGAATCACCGGTGTATCAAGCACCTAGGCATGCAGACTGCTTCTACAAACATTTGTGAAAGAATGGGTTGCTCTCAGGAGCTCAGTGAATTCAAGTGTGGTGCTGTGATAGGTTGCCATCTGTGCAATAAGTCAATCTGTGAAATTTCCTTACTTCTAAATATTCCACAGCCAACTGTTAACGATATAACAAAGTGGAAGCAACTGGGAACAACTCTGTGGACACTTAGTGATTTCTGCGCACTTCAGAGTCAATAGCTAAAGACCTCCAAACTTTGTGTGGCCTTCAGAGTTGCACAACAGTGCATATAAAGCTTCATAGAATGGGTTTCTATGACTGAGTAGCTGCATCCAAGCCTTACATCACCAAGTACAATGCAAAGTGTTGGATGCAGTGGTGTAAAGCATACTGCCACTAGACTCTAGAGCAGTGGAGACTTGTTTTCTGGAGTGATAAATTGCTCTTGTGTCTGGCAATCCGATAGATGTGTCTGGATTTAGCGGTTGCCAGGAGAATGGTACTTTCCTAGCTGCATTGTGCAAATTGTGGTGGGGGGGTTATGGTGTGGGGTTGTTTTTCAGGGGTTGGGCTTGGCCCCTTCTATTGAAGGGAATTCTTAAGGAGTCGGCATACAAAGACATTTTTGGACAATGTCATGCTCCTAACTTTGTGGGAACAGTTTGAGGATGGCCCTTTCCTGTTCTTGCATGACTGCGCACCAGTGCACAAAGCAATGTCCATAAAGACGGATGAGTGAATTTGGGGTGGAGGAACTTGACTGGCCTGCACAGTCACCTTAACCCAATAGAACATCTTTGGGATGAATTAAAGTGGAGACTGTGAGCCAGGCCTTCTAGTCCAACATCAGTGCTTGACCTCAAAATGTGCTTCTGGAAGAATGGTCAAACCTTCCCATAGACCCACTTCTAGACATTGTGGACAGCCTTCCCAGAAGAGTTGAAGCTTTTTTAGCTGCAAAGGGTAGACCAACTCAATATTGAACCCTAAGTACTAATACTGGGATGCTATTAAAGTTCATGTGCGTGTAAATGCAGGTGCCTCAATAATTTTGGCAATCTAGTGTATGTGTGCCCAGCTATGGCAATGTATGAGTTTTCCAAATGAATGGGAAGTTTTGTTTTTTAAGCTGTGACATTAGGTCTGACAAGATCATAACCTGGAGAAGCTCATATTTTCCATAAGTAAAACTAAAATGAGAGATGGCTGTATCTATGGAATTCTGACAAAATCAGAAAGCTAGTGAGTGGCTGGGAAACCCCTTTAATGCCTCCCCATTTTTTTTCACCTTTTCTTTTCACCAATCCACCCTGTCAAGCCTTTTTGGCATCCTTGACAGTATTAGGAAGGGGGATTGGGGATGTGGGTCATGGCAGGTCTAATGAATATTGAGGGCTCTAATAGTATTGTCTCGAGCCTCTCTGCCTACAATGAACCCCATTTGATTAGGGTAGATGACTGTTGGGAGGAGATCCTGCAGTCTGGATGCTATAAGACTAAAACAAATTTTTGTGTCCAAATTTAATAAAGATATAGGGTGGTAGTTCTGGCAGTATGTCTTGGCTTTCCCAGGTTTCGCTATTACAACAATATGGGCAACTATTGCTTCCTTAGATATTATTGGTGGCAATAGCATTAAAATAATTACACATGGGCTCTACCAAAATGTGCGCCAGCCTTTTGTAATAAACAGTGGTAAAGCCATCTAGGCCAGAACTTTTTCCATTGGGGAGGTCTGAAACTGCTGAGGCAAGCTCCAAGATGGTGAAGGTGCATTCCAACTCAGTCACTATGTCCTTGGGGAGGCTAGGGAACTCCACTTCCTGCATATACTGTTGTATTAAAATTTGCTGCCTATCTGCATGGTGTGGATCAGGTGGTGGTTTAGGTTTATATAGGGAGCAATAGAACCTAAAGGCATCTGCAATAGTCAGAATCCACAACCTGTCTGTCTTGCACAGTTAGCTTATGAATCAAGCAAGAAGGCGGCCGCATTTATTCCCATGTTCATAAATGTTATGAGTATAATAGCGTAGTTTATACTGAGCTTTCCTTTAAGACATTCAGACAGTCTGATCCTCAACTCCGTCAGGTCAGTCAGTTGCAATTGGCTTTTTAAGTGTTTGTTCAAGCAATCATACTTTATCAACCAAATCATCAATTTCTTTAAGTTTGACCTTTATTGTAGAGTCATGGGCAAGCAGCACCCCTCGGATTACCACCTTATGACCTTCACTTAGTGCTCGTGTGGACACCTCATCAGTATAATTCAATGCAAATTATGTGTTAATGGATGATTCAAAATCAGTTCAGATGATATCATCTAGCAAAGACTCATTTAAGTGCCAGGTCCATAAAGGACTATGTGTAGCCACCGAGCCTGTGAAGATAATATTGGTCAACATAGAGGAGGTCTTTTCTCGAGTAGGAATTATGTATATGGGAGTTACAGCTGTAATCCCTAGTGGAGGGGTTGTCAACTCACCACCTGTCCACTTTGTGTAAATCCTGCAAAAGTTTGTGGAATTGTTTTAGAGCTTTGAAACAGAAGGATGATTTTCCTGAGGAGGTGCCCAGCTGGGGATCGGGAGGAGGTTAAAATCCCCACCTAATAAGAAGCTCTCTTTAAACTCAGGCCTCTGCAGTACAGTAGAGAAAAAGTTAATGGCATGGATGTTTTGCGCATACACGTTAGCTATAGTATACACCTCGTCATGAATAGTACCCTTAAATATGTACTGTATCTGCCCTCCTGATCAACAATGTGAACGATAGGAATAAAAGGACATGGCTTGTGGACAGCTATCACTACACCCCTCGCTTTAGGTATTGGAGAAGGGCAGAGGAGTCATTGGGTAAATACAGACTGCGGGAAGGTTAGGTGTAGAAGTTGCCATGAAATGGGTCTCCTGGAGCAGTACAATAGATGGATTCAGACAGTGGATTACACAATTTAGTGTAGACACAGACCTTGAACAATACAGAATAATTCCACGTATCCCCAGGATCAAACAAGACTATCCGTAAACAAAAAAAAATTATATAAATTCTAAACTTAGAAAAAAAAGAATAAACCATATCAGAAAATAGCCAGTAGCTAACAGCTGAAAAGCCTGGCTCTCCTGCAGACTGTAAAACACAGTATAGTCTTCAAATGCTGGAGATAAACCTACTTGGGAGAAGTAGCTGAACATGCACAAGAGGCAGCACCCCTACCCCCGGGCTAAGAGCAAAAACTAAACATGAGCATGGGGCCCAAAGCGAA